AGATGGAAAGGCGAGAGAGAGAAACGAGGACGAGAGAGAGAGGACGACGAGGGGAGACAGAAGAGAGTAATAGACGAGAGGAGACGGAGAGAAGAGATGAGAGAGACGCGAGAGAGAGATAGGAGAGAAGAGAGAGAGAGGAGAGAGAGGAAGAGAGAGAGATAGAGATGAGAGAGAGAGAAGAGAGAGAGAGAGAGAGATAGATAGAGAGATAGAGAGAGAGAGAGATAGAGAGAGTAGAGGGAGAAGAGGAGCAGGAAGGAAGGGAGGGAGGAAGGGGGAGAGAGGGAAGGGAGAGGAGGGAAGGGAAGAGAGGGAGGGAGGAAGGGAGAGAGGGAGGAGAGGAAGGGAGGGAGAGGGAGGGAGGGAGGGAGGTAGGGAGGAGGCGGATGGGAGGGAGGGAGAAAGGAGAGAGGGAAGGGAGGAGGAAGGGGAGAGGAGAGGAGAGGGAGAGGAGGAGGAGGGAGGAGGGAGGGAGGGAGGGAGGGAGGGAGGGAGGGAAGGGAGAGAGGGAGGAGGGAGGAGGGAGGGAGGGAGGATGGGGGAGGGGGAGAGAGAGAGAGAGAGAGAGAGAGAGAGAGAGAGAGAGAGAGAGAGAGAGAGAGAGAGAGAGAGAGAGAGAGAGAGAGAGAGAGGAGGGGAGAGAGGAGAGAGGGAGAGAGAGGGAGAGAGGGAGAGGAGAGAGGGAGAGAGGGAGAGAGAGTGAGAGAGAAACTTCATATTTAAAAGCCAATAAACAAGCAACCTGAGTCTAAAAAAAAAAAAAAAGAAAAAAAGAAAAGAAAAGAAGAAAAAAAAGTAGGCTATGATGCTTTAGGAGCCAGTGCATAGAAAAAAATAAATCCCTTTAAACTATTAATCAACTAAGTTTTAACCACAAAACAAATACAACACAATATCAGTAATAAAAATAGTAATGATATTAAAAATAATGACAATTATAAGGATAAAATATTAGCACAATTATTACTATAATAACTCTAATAATCATTATAATAAATAACACTAAACCTTTAACAAAAAAGTATTTCCAAGGTACTTGTTTCAAGTAACATGACATTCTGAAGATAGGAAATCAAACATGTAGTAGATGCCACACAGTATAGTAATTACTATCCTAATCTCTATTCCCGTATGAACCACTACTCAACCTAAACGTCTATATATCATAAAAAATATACATATATATATATATTTGTTTATTCTTCAAAGTTACCACTAAACAAGCTAATAGGTGATACACCACCAACTGTCACAAGCATCAAATGTTACTGATGCACTTCTACAGACATAGAAAGAGTTAATGCACTGTATCTATTGATGCAAAATCTATCACAACTGACCTTTAGCATATAAAATCACGAAGAAAGTCATATCAGCACATATAATTAATATCCAGAAAATGCAAATATAATAGACATATTCGATACCATATCCATCTATGATAAGCAAAAGAGTATTGGTCTTTGCGAGGTATGTGTACATCACATGTAATAATCGCAAAATTTCAGACAAAGTGAATCTTACCCATTAACCCCAGATAAAAAAAAATTTGGCAAGTGGACTTTAATGCGGGTTGTTGACGTACATTAAACAGTTTTCCCTGTTTGCACTTGACTCATTCAGCAATTTGCAGGCCACATTAGGCCTCTAAAAGCTTACATTTTGATATCATTTAAAATAATTAAAAAACTGAAGGTGCATCTTCACTTTAGGTGCTATTGTCTGAGAGTTTAACCATAGAAATGATACCATGACTATCGGAGAAAAACAAGCTCCGTTCTATGAGCTCATGACACAGGAATGGTCATGATAAGATGCCACCCACTATTTTATCTACAACAGCCATGACATGTATGTCAATGCTACCTAGTGGCATTGGGTTAAGTAATAAGAAAAAGTATAACTCCCATGTTGAAAGGTAATACATTTTAAGAAAAAGATTATGTGAATAAGTGACAATACTTAAATGCACCTGATCTCCATTTAGTGGTACTTCAACAATAGTGAGAAAATTAAGGTATCCTTTCTCCCCCCCCCCTCTTCCTTGAAGGATTTTAATAAACTAATTTCCCCCACATATACACATAACAAGAAATTCTTGGAAAAAGGGAATACTCTAATAATTATAAATATTTATGTATATCACTGAGCCTCTTCCCTTTAATTATAGACAAAAATATTGGAATATTTGCTATGAAAGGCAATTCAAAATTTGGGTCTGCCCCTGGCTCTACTGCCAAGTATACTGTACATATTTTATATGTTGCTGTAATCCACTATATTGCAATTGTAAGCTGTATATTCCCCTAATAATATATAAAACAATCGCTTTTTAAAAGAAAAAATGATCCGTAATCTATATATAACATTATATATGCAACTCAGCATTATAACTTCATGATTTCTGGCTTGCTAAAATGCCAAAACATCTAAACTCTGGGGCATATGCAAACATGGTGGCACACACCATGCAACTGAGGTCTTGGCAATAACAAAGTCCTGCTTTGTGATTTTGATATAGACTTGCAATAATATATTGACGCATTAGTATTATTTTTTGCCTAATAATACATTGAAGCCTTAGTATCCTTTATTCCTAATAATATATTGAAGAATTAGTACTATCTTTTGATTAAATTCCTGTAATAGCAGCCAGACACCAGTGCAAAATCTGCATGATAAAAGAGCTATAATCTGTGACTGACTTGTTCCTTATTCAAAAGATGGAAAAAGGTCATCAAAAACATTTAAGCTGTGAAAATAGACAAAGCAAAAGAATACTCTTTTAGAGATCATTAAAGAACTAGATGCAAGTATATTGGTGTTCACTTCAAACCATCAAAATCTCTTTTCTTCTTTTTTTCTTTTCATTTTACTTTCAATATTACAATGAATTTCAAAATGTATAAAACCAATCATATAACTTCTATGTCACTAATAAGATCATTGGCCCATTTCTTGTGTCCTTCTCATTAGTCAAAACAGAATGAAGGAAATTTTTGAAAAAAAAAAAAAAAAAAAAAAAAAAAAAAAAAAGGTATAGTAACTGCTATAAAAGTCTATTCAAGTATTCTTATTAGCTTCTAGTTTGAATAATTCAATGTTAAACTACTAGAAGCACTTAAAGAGCGCATACCTCCGATAAGGCAGTAGGGTCACAGATGCAATGAAAATATTTACACTTGAAGAAATACAATAAAAAACACAAAAATAATAAATAATAAATAATAATCAATCAATCAATTAATTAATAATATATAATAACAATAATAATGAAATAATAATAATAATAATAATAACAATAACAACAACAACAATAATAATTTAAATACCAAAAAGTTAAGTTGTCCCTCTCTCGCAATGTTAATGAATCCTTAAAAAATTCTTGGATCTGGATTAAGATACAAATCACTACCAAAATTTAACAGCATCTATGTGAGGCTAAGACATATCTGTTCACAACTTTTTGAGTTATTCTAAGAAAGAAAAAAAAAAAAAAAGCTAACAAAAACATAACCTCCTTGGCAGAGGTAAAAATAAGAGAAACGTACAAGAGACAGTCTGCAGAAACCAATCATATATGATTGGCATAACAGCATTCATAAAGACAGCATTCATGGTGCATAAAGTGCATTGTTATACTACATATAGATATCAACAATATGCAAGAAAATCATTTCAAAATTGATATACACTTAGCACAACACGAATAAATACAATGATTTCTTAAATATCTACAATCTCTTGCCATGATATAGCTTTGAAATATAGCAACAACAAATATCTAAAAAGGCTCAAAACTCAACTATGAAAGAAAAAGATCCACAAAAGAAAGGGCTTATAGGCATTACCATTTCCAAATAAAAACTGAAAATCCTACACAAGACACTCTTTGCTCAAGTCTATTCTGTTAATAATGTCACTAAAATATCTAATGCCAGCAATACAGAACACATTTCCTAAAGTCTTATCCTAATGTTCAATAATCAGAATGTATATGCAAATGCAACACATGGCAATGTTTTACATTCGCTAATCCTCCTCTTCCTGTTTGTATTAATATCAGATAACATGAATACACGACTTGTTTCTACGACCTTTTTCACGCACAAGATTTTACAAACATTAAAGAGTCAGCCTGTGAATTATGAATGTCAAGAAGCAATAAAAGCAAAAAATGAACGAGAAAAAATGAAAAAGGGGACAAAGACCTGTGAAAACACTGCCTTTCCCCCCAAAAAATTTATCCACTCGAGGGCTAAAAAGCTATTTCTACAACTAGGAGAACGAATTATATGAAAGATGACCTTCACTTTACTTTCGCAAAACCAATCACAGGCTTTAAGGGTTTACTTTTCTTGTAAGGACTAACTCTTTCTTATAGTTTGTCTTTTATGTATGATTGTGTTGGTAGGCAGTCTTTGAACTGTGATATACCCTGGCTGTTTCAAATAATTTCAAATAATGCAGCATATATTGTTTCAACCTTCCACATTTGTGCTAAAAATGGCATGAAAGGTGATTAACATAGTACTTCCTTCTGTCTAAGAAAATTTCTAATTTCATCTGCATTAAATTTTCATGTAAAAAAAAAAAACTTTCCTTTAATAATTCCAAATCATCTTTTTTTTTAAGTTTAGTATATATATATATATATATATATATATATATATATATATATATATATATATATATATATATATATATATATATATATATCCACAAGGTCACTCTGACCCACTTTGGATTTTTCAAAGGTACTAGATATCATAAGCAAATGTAAAATCCAAATTAGATAATGCTGAAAAATCCTTCTGTACTATACTTGCTAAAAATAAATGTTTATCAAGTATTACTTTCTTATCTTTGAATATTCACTAAAACTTGCCTAAAGTATGGCATTAAAAATGACACTGTACAGCTTGCAATATAAATAAAAATTACAAACTGACCAGAATATACATTCCAGTTTTCTACACAAAAAAAAAAAATAATAATAATAATAACAACAATAATAATAATAATAATAAAAAAATTAAATGTTCTAACAACCAACAGAAATCAGCTTACCTGCTCATTACAGTGTCTGTCGTGAAGATGCGTCATGGCACTAAATCTCCTTCTTGTCATGGTATCACATCCAGACCATCCACACTGTATTTCATGGATGTGAGGAGGGCAGTGCACTTTACATGCATGATGATATACTTGGCCTGCACTGCTGAACACTTGGTTGCACCCCCGCCATTCACATATGTACTGTAAGCCACTAGGATTTCCTGGGCGCCTTGCAACACCTGAGGAGAGCACCTGCGGGGCAGGAACATGGGGTGTCTGTGGCCCCTGACTCACAGAGGTCTGAGACACTGGGACAGCTGTAGGACCTGCTGGGGCAGGTGCTATGGCAGCAGGTAAGGAAGCTGGTGTCTGAACACTGTACACTGCTGTAGTTGAACTACTACTGATGTTATTACTATTACTGTTACTATTATTACTCTGAAACTGGACAGGGGGAGGAGTTGGTGTGGCACGCGCATCTGCTATAGGTGTGGCTGCCCTGACTGTTCTCATAGCACTGGTTACAGTAGCAACAGGTACTGTAGCTCCCGATGAAACTACCTGCACAACTTGCTGACCAGCCACTTGTCTTGGTAGCACCAGCTGTTGGCTCTGGCCCCCTTGGTGCTGGTTACCAGAGATAACCATCTTTGGGTTGGGTAAAATTATTAGTGTCTTCGCTGTGGAGCCCTGTTGCTGAGGTGCTAGCAGGACTGTACCTCCTACATTTCCTGGCACCACCACTTGCCCACTTCCTCCTTGTTGACCACTAACTACAACAGGCTGACCTTGATTTCCTGCAACGATCATAGTCTGCCCTTGCGCACTAGACACTACAACTTGCTGTTGTCCTTGTGTTCCAGGAACCACTACAGTTTGATTCTGATTCCCACTCACAACAAATTGGCCTTGCGCATTACTTCCTTGCACAAACACTTGTCCCTGACAATGTGGTACACCCTGCATTATCACTTGTCCCTGAATATTATTACCTCCTTGCACCATCACTTGGTGTTGGCCACCAGTTCCTTGCGAAAGAATAACTTGCCCACCCAGCACCTGCCCAAGCTGACCCTGATGAAGGATCACTTTCTGTGGTGGTCCTGACTGTCCCTGTTGGATGACTTGTTGAATAACTTGCCCCGCAGCTGCTCCTTGCGTCAAGATCTGTCCACCTTGTTGCACAATGACTCCAGTCTGTGTACTTGGTCGCTGGAGAATCACCTGGCCTTGAGGTGTCACCATCGTCTGAGTTGTACCCACTTGCTGCCCAGCAAGCACAGCCTGACTTACAACCATTTGTTGTGGTTGGGCAGGATTCACCGAAGGAGCCTGCTGTCCTTGACTCAAAACCACCTGGTGACCCTGAGATATAACTTCACCACTTTCACTTCCATTCTGACTGACATATAATGTTATTCGGCTATCCATGCCAGGAGCTCCTCTTGGATCTTCGATAGCAATTCTCTTTGCTGGAGCATTATCAGGTGTTGCAGGTCTCTTAATGCCACCCTGGGTTGATTCATTACTAGACTGTCCATTTGTGGCCACTGGACCATTTACTTTCACTTGCTGTCCGTGATTTACAAACTCTAGACCCTTGTCACTGATTCTTAAGTCTCTATCAACCACACCATTCAGTATGTCTCCCCCAACTGTCTTTTCAAGCAGATCAGCTAACACATTTTTCTTTACTTTGGTCTCTGAGACATCGTTCGCCTCCTCTTCTTTCACATCTACCTCCGATTTTAAGCCGTTTTGTAAAATTCCTTCAAAACTGGTTACCTTTTTGTCGTTAAGAGTAGATGATAAGAAGGAATTTGAGTCATCTTCACATCTCTTAATCTGTTTGAGAAGAAAGGAAGGAAGCAATCATTTTAGTGAGGGGGTTTAAAGTTTACAAGAGATAGGAATACTAATGAAACTGGTCAAGCAAATTACTGAAGATAATAAATAAAGCTTGTTGGCAAGAAATGAAAATACACACACATATAAATATGCTCACCTCATTACAAATTCCATTAAAAGATGAGGTTTTTCTAACTTGAGAGTCACTGCTGCTGTCTTGGCTGTTATCTACTTGCTGTTGTTGCAACTGCTGTTTCTGCAGGTTTCTTGACACCTGGAAGAGGAAAAAGGACTTTCAAATACTCTAACTAAAACCAAACATGCAAATTGCATATGAATCAAATCCACATAGATTGGCACCAACTCCAATATAAGAATGTCAGGGAAAAAATATTTTCACAATCGTATACAATTCTGTTAAATTCAAAACCAATGCTACATGTTAAATAGAGCCATGTCTGGAGCAGGTGAGATGCGGTCAGAAATGTTAAGGAATTCATCACTTGCTGCAAACATTATTGTAAATTAGTTATGTAAGTTCAAAACTACCTATATCTGCAAAATAAGGAAAGTTAGAAGAAATCAAAACAC